TTGGTATATTGCTTATTTCAAGCTAAAGGCATTTGAAAAACAGCAAACGCAGGAAGAGGCTTTTTCTGAACTTTCCTTATCTGTCTAAAGAGAAATCTTCCAAAAGGAACTCAATTGTCATAAACCCCCCTCCCCAGGAGCTCATCATCCAGGGAAGATGTCCTACTTAACACAGGAGAGGAGGCTACAGGTCAACACCAGAACCAGATGCACTTTATCACAATCATACCTCCCATCTGTCTTCTAAGGACCCATTCATCTTTCCTAAAAACCACTTGTTCTCCCTTAAGAGGCCTTTGTGGCCACCTCTTCTTTTCCTATTAAAAGGATATTTAAGCCTAAATTCTAAAGCCAACCTCTCCGAGCTATTCATTTTCCCCTGGGTATCTCCCATGTATACATGAGGTAGACATATTGTAAACCTGTTTTTCTCTTGTTAATCTGTCTCTTATTACAGGGGGTCTCAGTCAAGAACTCAGAAAGGTGGAGGGAAACTATTTTTCCTCCTCTACAAAGCCATGAACCACTGTAGGTTAAGATATAACGATGGTATAAACACAGGTTAATTCAGTGAGGCTGGTCAGGGTTTTTCTAGATTCTGCAACCACTGCCAGTTTTCCTCATCTCTTTGATGATTCTGGATCTTCTCCAAGCTAAGTTGCAGAGAATACGTGTATCCACTGCCATGTGAGGCAAACCCAGGAAAACTCCATGAGGAAAAGTATCACAGGAAAGGCAGGGATTGTGCAGGAAGCAAGGATTCCCAGGTGTCTTTGGAAGGAGGGGAGGAGTGGGAACTGGAAGTTTCTTTATCCTACAAGTCCCTTGGTCAGATGACTCTTGGGCGTTGATGGCACAGTGAGGGTAGGTTTCCACACAGAGGCAATAGGAGTTACTTAGAAGTTTAACCCAGAATCCCCATCAGCTTGAATTCAGGATGACTGAGTCCTGAAGACTGGAATTTAGGACCCCTGGGCTGCCCCTGACTGTTGAACTATAAACACACCAGAGACTAAAAGTCCCCCAGACTTTTCAGCCTATCTCACCCTTAATTGGCCTAATCTTGGTTAAATCACCGTGTTCCTCTCCTACCCCTCATATTCACAGATGTCTACAGAAAAGTTCAAGGAGATTAAGTCACTCATCGAAGATCCCAGAGCCACGCTCTATCCCAAATCCAGTTCTGCCAAACTCCAGCTAACTTCCCTACTTCTTTATCATTATTGCCTCTTTCCC